ACTCTGGATATGTCTTACCAATAAGGGCCAAATGGAATGAATTCTAGGTTAGTTACTTTCCTCTCTATGCCCATAATCCGTTTCCTCTCTAGTACTGAATGCACCGTATCGAAATATCGAGCAATTTAACCCGATAAGAATACTATAAACTTATTTGGTAAAATCTGACTAGCATTGAAGATAAGATAACATGATGGCGATCATAAGCAAATGGTAAATTAATATATAAATTAGATCTCGGAAAATAAGTAATCACTATAATTATAGTAAGAAGTTTTCATCAGAAATCACCCTCATTCGAACAACTAACAGTTCTAAGAACCTCAAAGTTCCAGCTTCAAAAACTAAGTTTATTTACTGATAGATACTTTTCGTCTACATACAAATAATGATAGCTCGTAATTTCAATCACCTCTAAATTTACTAGAATTTTGCTAGTAGGTTGAGTGTATTATAGTAGTTTATTAGGATTCATTATCTATAAACGTCTATAACCCAGTTTGATTTATGTCCTTAGACCTCTACCTACTTAACTAATAAGTTACAATAGAAGTATTACGACAATAAAGGTTAAATGGTGATTATAATTCATTATCACTTGAAGAATAGATGAGATAATCGTCTGTCAACCAAGTAACGAGTATACTGCACAGAGATATGCTCAGCAGGTTTTGGGTCACAGATGTCTTTTCAACATTATCGTATCGTAGAACGACCGATTGACCAATATTGAGATGAGGTATAAGGTATTAGACAAATGTTACAAGTTTATTGAGGAGGTCAACGTTTGTTACATATCCCTAACTACCGTCTATCGCGACGGCTAAACTTGTTGATGTGTAAACTGGTTGTAAAAAAGCTAGGGGAGGTCAAATCAAAACTTGGCACTAGTTCATGAATTTATTGATTTAGCCTATCCTAGTGGATGAAGACTACCTGGTCGAGGTCAACATGATAAAAATTACCAGTGGTTAGAGAATGGGTAACCATGACTTAGAATCAGTTTCAACGGGTCAGATGCGTTCACTCGTTATCTTCCTCTCCATTTTCAGTTTCGGTACTCCTTCATACATACCCTTCCTTTCTGTCTCTGAGTCATATTACCAATGTTTATTTCATTCGCACTACATTATTTCGACCTACTTTGCCATTCATCTTGTTATATTCATTTCATCGTGTTTATATGGCATAACAACTTGTGCAAACATATACCTTTGCTGGGCTCTAAGCTGATTATGGCTGACAATACTGGAAGATGAATCCCTTAAAAGTGTTTGGAATTAACGGTTTTGTAAGTTATAATGTAAGTTAGTTTGAATAATAACTGCACACCATTTTGTTGGATACTTTCAGTTCTACATAATACCTGGTTATTTCTAGTGATAATAATGTAACATACACGGTCAACTATTTAGAAAATTTTCATTTCATTCTCCCTTTGCAGCACACTAAAATTATATTTATCAGATAACGACACAGTGGTATTTAGCTATACAAACATAATTTGACAAAATTGTAAACCTACAGGAACTGAAGTGTGTGAAACCTGCAACATTCGGTGAGTTACTATCTGACAAAATGTTCCAAGACTCACTGGAGTAAATCTAAACGATAACCAGATAAAAACTTGACAATAATTGTGAGTTTGCGGTTTTGGATAAAAATTTTAATCTAACTGAATAGGGTCTTTATAATAATATCAAAGATCAACAAAGATCAGAGCTCAAATTCAGTGATAATGATATGAATGGATTTATGTGTTTTATCTGGCTACAAATCTTACATGTTAAATTATACACTTCTTTATTTATTTGTACGCTATTTCAGTCATAATCCTTCTTAATTTATTTAGTCACTTCTTTTTTATTATTATTATGCTATTAAGATACAGTAAATTTCACTCTGTGTGAATATGAAAACCTAGTTTATATTATACGTAACAAGTTTAAGAGTCTCCGTTCATATCTTCACTTGATTACAATATACTGTATTCAACAAAAGACCTAGTAATTTTTTTCTAGCTTAAATCAGCTAATAAAAAGCATAAAACAAAATAAACTTTAAAAAAGATATAGCAACTGTCAGATTATGAAATTTTTAAATAAACGTAAAAGGGGGCTACTGACAAATATGTACATATAGCATGTCATTTAACTTCATATTCTAGTGTCATGAGCATTTCAAAGGTGTCAAACGAAATCTATTTGAGTTTTTTTTCTAAATAAATGAAACCGTTCTCTAGTGTAATAATCTGTCAGAAATTGTTCTGTTTTTTTAAACTTACACATCAAAACGAAACAATCTTAGGCGATGTTGCTATATTACAAGGTGGTACATAATATTTAACTATTCATATACAACAAAAAGGAGATATACGAATAAGATCAATGTAGAATCTGATATAATAGTACGTCACCGCAGATAATGAAGAAATAGCAAAAGAAACTGATTGTGTTAGTGGAAGGAAATTAGATATAATTCAGCCAAGAAAATGTTCTTTTCTACAATATTGAGAGAAGAAATCACCGAGAAGGCAACAAAAGTAATAGTGTGGGAATAGTTATGATGGTAATAAGAAGAGGCTATGAAAAAGACAAGAATGAAGAAAATAAGAGACAGATTATAACAGAAAATAGTTTCTGCAGATTAAATAGTAGATACATATGTACCACTACTATTGATTCTCAGCCAAATCATCTGAAAGTCTGTAATCCTAGATTAAGACTGTCAGAAAGACCATAACAGTTCCTCAAATGTATCAAAACAATTTATCGAACACTTCGTGTAGGGTTTTACTTAATTAACTTAAATCAGGAAACCGCTTAGCAAGTATGATACATATATCAGGAATATCGGTTTAAAAACGTTTTTAACATGAACAACTAGTGCATCTCATTTAACTAGAATTGAATAAAATTAAAATCAATATCTGGTAGTTCCATAAACTTTTGATCCTTTAAGAGTATCACTGGTCGAAAATAGGTATTATTCACATATGGTGTAGTTCACTCCTGAATAGCAAAAATACTTCATGAAATACATTAAGATATTACACCCACTCTACTAATGAAAAAATCATGTTAATTTTTAGTATCCTTCAAGTAGTTTGCAGACCAAAAACCTTTAAAAACCACATACAACTCCTTGGATATAAAAACTACTGAACCACTTCATTTCCTATAATCTCCTTAAAACAGTCCTGAAACAGGATTCTTAAAGTAAGGGCTGTAACTTATTTTAGACGTTTCAAGATTACAGAACATGTTTAAAAGGCCTTAAGTAGCTTTGAACTTAGTTTACGAGAAAGTTAAATAGTGATTGTTAACTTCAATTATAGTCACCAAAACATTTGTGTGTGGCTGAGATACTGATAAATCAACCAGACAGAACCAGGTGGCTTTCTTAGACGGCCACTCCCCGAACTTTTGACTGAGGTCTTATCTATAAGAAAATTTAGTAGAATCAGGAGAAGCAGCCCTATGGTAGTTAGTGGCCAAATATAAGTTCATATGCCATTCGATCCATCAGGATCCCGGAGCCCACGTTCATAAGTGATCTGGAACCAGGGTTTTTCAACTCCATGATGTGAGTCCCTCATATCTAACAGCCATGTTAGATTGCATTCATCCTCTCACTTCTGTAAACAACATCTTTGTGAGAAGGCAGTGAGTAGGACTTCCTCGACCGTGGCTATAAACGGGTGGCCACACAAGAGCATTTTGGGAAGAACAGAATTTCCCCACCATTGGTCGTATTAGAATATTTGGGGGCCCTACGTTTCATTAGTACCATCAATTAACTAGGAAACATCATCTCTGCACTGTAATTTTGTTGACAGATCTCTTAGAAGGATATCAGCTACTGAGAATCAGGATGAAAACAGAGTCATGCCATAAGGTACTCATATGACAAAAGTGAATGGAGATTAAGATAAACAATATTATTGGCTGATTTTATTTAACGTGATCATCTCCAATCGTAGCTTGCAGACAGTTACTACCTAGTCAATGTAGTTAAGGTTTACATTTCTCATTATTCCGAAGTGATTGATTGGTTAACCACAAAAAATCAGGTTAAGAAATGTGTTCAAAATGTAGCATAAGTAACCATCTGTTCATTTATCAAAATAGCAGAAAAGAACGATTCAGTGTATATAACTTCAAATAACCATTAAGCTTGTACGATACTCTAGGCTTGGCCATTCCGATGTTTCTGCTGAATACAAAATAGGCGGCAATAATATGATGCGAAAAACTATGTTGTTTGAATGATTTCTCTTTTGACTACTGACATGCGAATGATTAGGTTCATCCTTATAAACGGGGATGATTAGCGATAACAGATAAGCAGAGAGAGCTAATGTATTAAGTTTTAAATTGGTAATTTAATTTGAAGTCAATGGTTTCTAGCCATGATCATTTGGTGATAGCGAAAATCACTATCTCAGATCAATGTATTTTGTAGTACAAGATTCATTGAGCTGATTGATTTAGTTTGAAAGCTTTCATTGTTGTTCTGAACGATATTTTCAGTACTTACTTCAAATAAGAATGATACTACCAAAACAATCAATCCGTATATGGTGACTATTTACGTACGAAGAGAAATGACTGATTTTAGTTTCCTAATCAAAGAGTGAATATTTGAACGACAGTTTTGACAGTTCTATAGACTGTAGTTCCATTCCCCTATTCTAACGGTCGAATAACAATTAATCAAATCAAATCGTCTACTTCCAAAACACAGCACCCTTAATTTATAATTAATCTTTACAGTATTCGTACTCAATAAGCCGTTCAATAAAATAAATGAGAATAATTTAATATAATATAACTTCGTTACCTTCAAAAAAAGAACTGATTCCTAATTGTAAATAAATCATATTAAAAGGTTTTCTTAAGTTCAGTTTAAAGTTTGAAATAGTTCATTAGCAGGAAGTAAATGAATGATATAATTTTTTTTTAAACCTATTAATATACAGATATTAATTTAATACTCACCAGCTAAACGTAAAGCGGACATCCGTTGAAATTCTGGTTCTTGTAACCATTTCCACATTCTTCGAAACGTTTCACGACCAGATTTTAATTTACTCCACGGTTTAGGATTTCTTAATAGATCAGATAATGTACCTTGACTTCTGCATAAAATACGTTGGGCGAAAACAGCTTGTGGTATACTATAACGTTTTAATTCTGAACTTATACGATGTGCTAATACTTTTGTATTAATTTCTTCCATTTCTTGAATAGAATGTGAAATTATATCATGTCTTGCGTGCATATTAGACAAAGCTTTTTGTAAACTTAATGCTTCATTATTTATATGTGATGAAACTAATGAACCATTCATGAGAGTTGGATGATATGGATGTCCTTGTACATGTTGCATGCCTTAGAAAATAAAAATTAAAAAAAATTTGATAGAAAGAATAAAAATACTTGAAAGTATAATTGTATTTAGTCGAATAAAACTGATGTTCACTGGTTTTTATCATAACACTAGCAATAAATCAACTTTATCAGTTATTGAATACTTTCATATTATAATGGTGATGATAATGGTTAAAGTGAAAACCGAAACTATCGATTCATAAAACATCACTCCGTCGTTCTACCATCACAATTCCAAAGAGAAACATGAAGTACTAAGGAGACACAGATTTTGGTTATATTTATTTAAATCTAAATTTAACTTGTGTTTGGCTTTCAAATTCATTTATTAAACTTAATATTAAATAAACAGTTCATCGACCTAAGTTATTCTAGAAAATGTAACTGTATAATTTAAAAGTGTTTTGTGAATTTTCAATACTGACTGAAATGTATGTACATCCTTGAATTTCAATTGTTTTACTCACTTCTTCACAGAATAATGTGAATAACTTCACTTTGTGACAAAAAGTACCTTTAGTTAACATATATATATAGTATTTCCTAACTCACTTTAAACGTTTGTACTTTTACTAACCCAGACAGTTAAATTCTAATCAACCATACGTTGCAGATGCCTGGGCGATATCCTGATTAACGGGTTTTTGGAAATATAGAATATTGGATACTAGTTCAGCAAGTGAAAAGTGTCGTGCTTGTCTCAAGACGTAAAAGTCCTGGCTTTGGTTCCCTATTTTATAATGGGACGCCTACTATAGGACAACCAAAGTAGGATGAGACAGATATTCAGTGTTTCCTTGCTTGCAATAATTTTTTAGCTTGTCTCAATTTCTGTTTTAAAAAAAACAAAACAAATATGCCCGGTAAAAACTTTTCCAAAACCGTGCAGTTTCCAGAAAGAACAAACAAAAGAGTTATAAAACTTTTGATGTAGTGTACCAGATCATATTGCCTTATGTGTGAGCAGAGTACATGAAGAACACAACTGCGATGATTTCATTTTCATTTATGATAAATAATTTTAACTTTATAGTTGAACATGTATTAATCTGATAGTAAAAGAACCTGCATTGATATGTTCTCACTTTAAAGAATATTGGATAACTAAGTAGACGATATCCAACATGAGTAACATTCTACTCAGACGGATATTCACTAATTCATCGACTGATAAATTTTACTACTCAAACGGTAAATCTGACCTAATTATCTAAAACTTTGTCATTATTCACAGTCTAAACAATGGAATTTCATTGCTGTAATTTAAAGCAGAACACACTCATCGAAAGACTTGCATACAAAATCTGAGTGTTATCATTTCACCAGAGTATATATATATATAAACGTGTTCTCAATAATAAACTACAAATTGCCCTTTATTTAATATATACAACCTGAGTGATTAATGAAACTAATCTAACTTTTCAAAATCATCTATTCTTTTATAGATTTTACTCCTTATTCGGATTACATTTCACCATCTTAAAAGTTTCTAATAAGCAACAAAAGAGTATGGTATTAATTCTATCAAACTGAAGCTGAATTCTGTGATGGATAAATAACAACTTTAAAAAATACTGCGAGTCAAAAAGTACTGGACAGCTGTTTCGTCCGGGGGTGACACTCTTCCACACTGCAAGATCGTGATTTTATGCAAGGCGTAACTTTAACCTTTAGTCAAATTACTGTTCACTCATAAATCAATATATCCGCAAATCTTACTGCTGAAAATATAACCATTCATGCAATCAATTCAAATATTCACTAATTTATTCAACATGATGCAAGTTGTTTGTAAGAGTTTATATTTTTCAGTTGTAGATATCAAATGTTCCAATTGATCAATCTCTATTGCGACATACTCATTCTGAGTAGACCTCCTCAATATTGTTTTATGGTTACAAGTTTGTAGTAAATTTAAACTGTGACTAGCAGTGGGAGATAGGACACATTCCGTCATATTTGACATCTTTCATCTGGATATACTTGAAGCCTAGTGTTGGCTTTCAAAGAGGAGAGGATATAAACTCTTACAAAAATGTAATAATTGGATTCGTATTTCTTTCTCGAACAATATTTCCATAATATAACTATTTATTTTACACTTAATAATATAAATAAAAATTGCATTAATAAATGATCGATTTCAAAGACTTGAGACCAAACAGATTCAATCAGTCACGTTTCATTTTCTTCTTATCTTGTTCAAATATATATGCATTTGTGAACTATAGTATATTACAAATCTAAACAGTCAGTTATTTAAAATCATTTACATACTTTCATGATCAAAGGAACTGCTTGTTAGAAGGACTGATAAATTAAAATAAATTATAGCTGCCATCTGCTTTTCTTTCCTTATAAGTATATAAATCTAACTATAAACAATCAATAGTTGAATTCATGAGTCGATTAAAGTTAGACCACCATGGAAAACCTAGAAGCACTTGACGGCCGTTTCGTCCTAGTGTGTGACTCATCAGCAGTGCGCATCCACGATCCCGCCCCTCTAAATTCGAACTCAGGACCTTCGGTCTCGCGCGCGAGCGCCTAACCTCTAGACCACTGGTTACGGGATCGCACTGGAATTCCATGAAATACTTGTTGAAGCCAGTCGCTAGTGAGCACATGATAATTATCAAAGGGGGTGTGTGAAAAGCTTTATTCGACTTATGAATTCAACAAGAATTTCCAAAAAGCCCCCGTTTTTGATATAAACAGTTTATTTATTTATTCAAAGTTTCATCAGCTAACCAAGATTTTACTTCCTTTGAGTCAATATTATTCAGAACTATTGTTTAAATAATTGTGTTTAAGAAATTATTTACGAAGTTGGGTGTTTTCGTCTAGATTGTAATGAAACAGAGATAAATAGAATGGGACAATTTCAGTTATCAAGGTAGTATAAGTAAATCATCTTACCAAATAAAATTGATTACTATTAACTATTGAAATAAGAAGAGTATTGTGAAATTATAACACAAAGATTATTCAATACTTCTGGTGATATCTGTTTTACTTCTGATGTGATTGAACGTCATCAAGTACAACTCAATAGAGTAATAAGTTTCATATCATTTATGTGGAAAATATATTATACCGTGGAGCAAATTGTATAAAACGAATGGGCAAGTGTATTTCAGAATATTACTACTAGTTGAAGGAAAACTAAAAGCACCAACCCTTAAATACTTTCATAATTATATCATTGTTCACTTATGGGATCGGGTCTAGACTTTTCATACCTCAAAGATATTTAATTGTTAACTTTTTGTAAGTATAACCAGTCTTTAAGATAGCTCTACCATCATATGATTTAATCCTAACAATTAAAACCTCAACTTCGAAATGCCTGATATTACATGCATATATATATATGGGGATTTCTGATTATCCATTTATCCCGAAACTTTCCCACGGAAATGCTAGTCAAAACTTATTCTGTCTATAGATCCACAGTTGTGTAAAACTAATTAACACCATCTTACTTCATTTGATTGATAATCGATATCCATCATAAGAAATCGATTATTATAAGATTTATAACATATTTCAAATAATTTACTAAAGGTCATATAATTACATATGTTCTCTGGATGAGCTCTCATGAAGTTCGTTTAGCCATTTCATTTTAACTTCAACTATCCTAAACCTAATTAACTCATAGGTAGATTATCTTACTTAAGCTTTATACTATTAGGTCCATAACTCAACCTCATTTTTATAAAATCTGTTATCTCTCATTCTACTCAATATTATTATATCTTTACTTTTTGCAGTGTTATTGTTACTACTGTCTGATATAACATTTTTATATTATATCCATATAATCTCTCTTTTTCTTATTACAATTCACCACATATATTCTTAAAATTAAACCGACGAATATATATCAGTGTGACCTAATAATTTTACACCTCACCAGTTTCGTTATTAAAATATAGAAGACACAAAATATATTAATTTTTTCTGTTTTTCGTATTTGTTTTAGATCCAGTTAACTTCATAAATATTCACTAAAATATTCTTTGATCTTGAATATTCATTAGATATCTTTAAACTAACTGAGAAATTAGTTAAAAACACTAATGAAGCTAGACCAATCTAAACCTATTTCTCAAAAAAGCAGAAGTAGCTTAAATCTTGTGTAATGAACAATGATTAAGTGGGGTAAACCAATTTATTGTTCAATGCAAAATTACACAGTGCTTTCGTTAAGTATGAAAATCATACGTTAAATCCATTATTTGCTCATCTGTCGGTTGTTTTTTACCTAATTTATGATTCTTCCAATTCTGTCATTATTCTAATTGCCTTTTGTTTCCTTTCCTTTTTTCTTTAATTTAAAATTCTGGCAACAGGCATTCCACTCTCGATTGCTGCTACATATTACTTATATCTGTCAGCATAAGTAGCATACAATAAAATTATGGGATAATTTTTATTGATTAGACTCTACTATTTTTATGTGAGTTATAATTAGATATGAAAGTCAACGCTTAGCATCTCGAGATACAAACGTGGCAGTCCCCACAGGTCCATTCAATGTCATGTATTTTTAAAGTAAAAGTAAGCTTCATAACACCTTTAAAATCCACTTCTGCTACGTAGAATATGTAGATATTCGTGTTCTTTCCAATGATTGGTTGATATTTGCAATAATAACTCTACATGTATGTTGTTACATGAAAATTTTAAACTATTTATTGAGTTAGCTGACAAGCTATTTTTTTAACAGAAATCTTCATATACTCGTAACATCAGAATAAATTCAAAATGAAGTTCAAAAACCTAGTCATAAAAGTATAGAGTATAAATATCTAACTTACTGTATAAGTAAAATCAGTTTCCTTGATTAACCTCCCCAGTTCATTTAAACTGTGACATATGAATATTACCAAGTCAAAGCATGAGCTAAATGTATATATATACACTCCAAAGGAGAGTAATGAAAATTCAACCCTGTATAATAAACATTATACTCGTTGGACTAGTCAACG